CTCCACAGCTGCCCTCTCCAGCAGAACCCCGCTCGGCACCCTGTGGGTCCCTTGCCTTCTCTGGTGACCGAGCTTTGGCTCTGGCTCCAGGGCCCCCCACCAGAGCCCGGCATGATGAGTACCTAGAAGTAACCAAGGCCCCCAGCCTGGACTCTTCACTGCCCCAGCTCCCATCACCCAGCTCTCCCAGGGCCCCTCTCTCCAGTCTTCCGCGACCTGCCTCACCAGCCCTATCTGAAGGCTCCTCTTCTGAGGCCACCACACCTGTGATGTCGAGTGTGGCTGAGTGCTTCCCTCCTGGCCTGGAGGCTGCAGAACAAGGGTCTGTAGAGCTGGTCCCAGGAATGGAACCAGCTGCCCACGGCCTCTGGGACCTCACTTCTCTGAGCCCAGCACCTCCAGCTTCACTGGACCTGGCCCCAGCTCTGGCTCCAAGCCTGCCTGGAGACATGGATGAGGGCACCCTGCCCTGCCGCCTGGAGTGCTCAGGGGCAGCCACCAAGAAGCCAAGCCCCTTACAGGGCCCCTCCAGGGATCGTGCCACCAATGGCCCAACTGAAACCAGCCCCAAGCCCCCAGGCCCTGCCCCAGCTGAGGCTGAGAAAGGAAAGGCTGAGGCCTGTCCCGCCTGGGAACGTGGGGCCTGGCCTGAGGGAGCCGAGAGGAGCTCCAGGCCTGACACACTGCTCTCCCCTGAGCAGCCACTGTGCCCTGGAGGGGCCTCTGGAGACCAACCTAGAAGTGTCTCCCCTGAGATGGAGGCTGGGCCCCAGGGATGTGCTGCTGAGCCCCGGCCGCATCGTGGGGAGCTCTCTCCATCCTTCCTGAACCCACCTCTGCCTCAATCCACGGATGACAGTGACCTCTTAACTGAGGAAGCTCGGCTGGTAGGGAGAGGGGGGCGGCGTCAGGTGGGGGCTGCAGGGGCCACAGGGGGCCCCTGCCCCGTGGCAGATGAGACACCCCCGACGTCAGTCAGCGACTCGGGCTCCTCGCAGTCAGATTCTGACGTTCCACCAGAAACTGAGGAGTGTCCATCCATCACAGCTGAGGCAGCCCTCGACTCAGATGAAGATGGGGACTTCCTGCCTGTGGACAAAGCTGGTGGGTTTAGTGGGACTCACCATCCCAGGCCTGGCCATGACCCACCCCCTATCCCCCAGCCAGACCCTCGCCCATCCCCTCCCCGCCCTGACGTGTGCATGGCTGACCCCGAGGGGCTCAGCTCAGAGTCTGGAAGGGTAGAGAGGCTACGGGAGAAGGAGAAGACACAGGGGAGAGTCGGCCGCAGGGCCACAGGCAGGGCCAAGCCAGCGTCTCCTGCCCAGCGTCTGGATCTTCGGGGAAAACGCTCACCCACCCCTGGTAAAGGGACTGCAGATCGAGCATCCCGGGTGCCACCCCGACCACGCAGCACTCCAAGCCAGGTCACCCCAGCAGAGGAAAAGGATGGACACAGCCCCATGTCGAAAGGCCTAATCAATGGACTCAAGGCAGGACCAAGTAAGTATAACATGGAAAGTGGGAGAGATTGTGGTTTGGGGCTGGGTGTGGCTGGTCAAGGGCTCCAGTGGAAGAGAGGGAGGGTGGGAGGGAAGAAGAAGGTTGCCAAAAGAGTTCTACTTTCCCTCTACAATGAGTCCTGTGTTGTCTCTACAGCGGCCTTGGGTTCCAAGGGCAGCTCTGGCCTCCCTGTATATGTGGATCTTGCCTATATCCCGAATCATTGCAGTGGCAAGACTGCTGACCTTGACTTCTTCCGACGAGTGCGTGCATCCTACTATGTGGTCAGTGGGAATGACCCTGCCAATGGCGAGCCGAGCCGGGCTGTGCTGGACGCCCTGCTGGAGGGCAAGGCCCAGTGGGGGGAGAATCTTCAGGTGAGTGGCAAGAAGCACCAAGGAGGTAGTCTGGTCAAACTTTACTCAGAGGCAGCAATGGAACACAGCCTCTATTTATAAAAGGACTGAGGGGCACTTCCCTGGCGGTCCAGTGGTTAAGACTCTGCGCTTCCACTGCAGGGGGCGCAGGTTTGATCCCTGGTCGGGGAACTGACATCCTGCATGTCGCGCAGCGCAGCCAGAAAAATAAATAAAACATAATAAAATACAAGGACTGAGTTCTTTCTCCGGGAGTGGGACTACATCCTGGACCATCAGGTGCCCCATCCCCTGACTTCACATCCTCACCTCAGGCATGTCTTGTCTCCCACCTAGGTAACTCTGATCCCTACTCACGACACGGAGGTGACTCGTGAGTGGTACCAGCAGACTCATGAGCAGCAGCAACAACTGAACGTTCTGGTCCTGGCGAGCAGCAGCACCGTGGTCATGCAGGATGAGTCCTTCCCAGCCTGCAAGATTGAGTTCTGAAAGAACCACTCTCCCTTCCCCAAGGATCTGCTCCCACAACCCCCTTAGAGAATGGCTAATGCTGAGTCCTTTGGGGTTGAGGGACATGGGAGTTGAGGGGGGCGAGGGGGACAGGATGTCTAGTGGGAACTTAGGCTGGGCTAAACGGGAGGGGTTGTGCCTCCCCTTCATCCATGCCTGAAAGGAGTCTCAAAACCAAAGGTAACAGGATTAGGATAGGGGGAGGGTGCAAAATTAGGATACAAGGTCATCTGATGCCTGAGAACCCTGGAGTGACACCCTCTCTCAGCACTGCCTAATGCTGGTGTCGGGTGGGGAGTGAGGATCGATAGAGAGCAACCTCCTCCCTCATGGAGGGAGATCATATCCCCAACCCCAAGGACCTCTTTATCTTAATCTATGTATTTAGCATCCCAAGGAAGGATTTCCAATAGTAATTTATGTGACCTGGGGGCAGGATACTGTCAGTGAGGTTGCCAGAGCTGCATCCTTTCCTCCATCTCCCATTCCCTTCCCCACCAGAGTCTGGGTCCCAGCAGGGTTCTGGGGGTATGCTGCTGCTACACTGTCCCACTGCTTCTCTCCGTATCTGAATGTTTCAATCCAAAACTTGAAGCTCTTGTGACTAACAGGTTGGTGAGAGAAGAAAGGAGCTTATCCTCCCGGCCCCTGCTTCATACCATTCACATCCCAGAGCTGTGCCCAGACCAGGCCTACTGGACAGCACAAAGGAGCAAGGAGAGCCCAGCCCCAATCGCAGACTTCTTCCAAGCTCCCTGACCTTATGAAGTTTTCACCCACCCATTCCAACTCTCCTGATCCCTTCTCATACCTGCTTGGCTTATCTGCATGTGGTCCCCTGCTGTGGCCTGGTGTGTAATGGGTTAAAAAGCCACTGCCTGACATCCTAACATTTGACACCCCAGCAACGTGTGACTCCCCCAACATTCCACTATGCCATCCTGCAGCTGAAATGGGAACGCTGGCTGCTTTTCCAGCCCCAGACTCTTGGACAGAGGATCGGGGAGGTGGAGGCCATGCCAGAGGACTTGGGGAAAATGAGAGGGAGGAAGGAAAGAGGGAGAGGAAGCTGAGCTAGGTCTTAACTCCTGAGTGAGATGAAAACAGGCCGAAAATACCACCCCAGGAAAGGACCTCACCCCAAGCAAGCCAATAAGCAGCCCTGCCAGACGACTGCGGGACTGAGAAATCCAGACGCTCTTCAGGGCTCAGCTTCTCTGCCAAATGACTGTGGAAACCAAAACAAGACCACCTGTGTTCTTCCTAGCTCCCACCCTCTCGTGCTGCTGTGCTCTGCTCCCTCCCACACGTCCCTGCTACAGTTCCCAGCTGCTGTGACGGAGCCACCTCCAACTCTAACAATAAATCAAGTTCATTACAGACGCCGTAGTGCTGCTTAGGCCTTTTCTGACTCCACACGTTGCTTAGTTGCTGGGCCCTGGCTTCTAACTCTCTGCTTCTACCAGCATGGTCATTTATCTTGATGCCTTTGATGACTGGAAGCAGTTCCAGGACCCAGGGAAGCCAGAGAATATAGGGCGGGTGAAGGGAGAAAAAGTTATGGGAAGCCAGCATTATTTGTGGAAATAGGTGAGAATGCCCAAGTATGGGTAATAGGAACTGAGGGTGGGGACATACATTTGTTTTGGGGGAGGAAAGAAAGGCAGGGCGCCTCCTGGGAAGGGGATCTGCATACCATGGGGCCAAGCGCTAAGGACCGAATAACCAGCATCAGATACCTTGTGTAGGAGAACACCAAAGAGGTGAGGAATTGAGGGGCCCTAAGAGATCCAGAGCCTATTGAGGTTGTAAACAGCTTTCACCTGTGCAGTCAGGCTTTCCATGAAGTATTATAAAATGTTGGATTTTCCTCTGCAGTGAAACCCTTTATAGTCCTGGGTATGTCAGGAAAGGCCAAGTTGTGAATGTGAATACATGCGGAGGGGGATATTCCAGCCCCCCTAGTGTTCTAGGCTTTCCCAGTGTAAAGACATCAAGGGGGTTAAGAAAGCACACGCCGTTTATATCAACTCCTGACACTCACTCCCAAGCATCAGTTAAAAATTAAGAGGGTGATTCCAACGATCTGGTGAGAAGGCACTGTACCCTTTGGTGCTTCACAGAGATAGAACCTCTCTTCCCGGTAACACTATTTATTTAAGAAATTTTGGGATTGTAGGCTGATTGCCATAGGGACCTCCTGGGATGTTTAATCTCCATATTTTTAAGGTCCATTCCTGCTCAACTACAATGGCTTTTGACTGGTTCAGATTAATTCAGTCACAGACATGACTGACCTACAGTCATTCATTCTTTTTTTTTTTTTAATATTTATTTATTTGGTTGTGCCAGGTCTTAGTTGTGGCTCGCAGACTCCTTAGTTGCAGCACAGGTGCTCCTTAGTTGCGGCCAGCAGCCTCCTTAGTTGTGGCATGTGAACTCTTAGTTGCAGCATGCATGTGGGATCTAGTTCCCTGACCAGGGATTGAACCCCGACCCCCTGCATTGGGAGCACAGAGTCTTAACCACTGTGCCGCCAGGGAAGTCCCCAGTCATTCATTCTTGAATTCACAAGGACATCATCACCACCATTATTATGGTTGACTATTCTCATTATTTTATATTTATTGAGCACTCATAATGTTCCGGCCCCCAACTCCAATGACCACATTACCCCTCCTACTCACCCCCATCCCCATCCCCATCCCCAGATCTTTGGGAAAAGCTTCATAATCACACCTGGCCTTAAAGACACAATGATATGAGGACAAATCCTATGGGGACCCTGGAGTATTTGGTCTTTGGCCAGTCCGTCCCTGACTCGACTACAGAAATATATATATAATCTTTGCTCATGTCTGTACAATACTGATCTCTGCTGATTGCTTAAAATAGAACCTGATTTTTCTCTACTACAATATCTCCTAAGCCATATAGTCCCACAACAAAAGGAGGCCCAGCTTTACAGATTGGCCAAGAACTCCCAGAGCATTTTAAGTAGTTACTCTGAAATTTTCACAGCAATCTAATACCTATTTTTCCCTAGAGCTATTGCCCAGAGGAACAGGACTAGGGCAGAGAGGGCACCTGGTGATGATATGGAAACATCCATAAGCCCAATCTAAAAATTTGTGGCCATGATGGATATTTGTTTGGGAAAGGAACTCTTTTTTCCCAGACATCTCAGACAGACATCCTGGGCCCACCTGAGGATACTAACAAAGACAAGAGTCCCCTGAATGCACATATGGTCTAAGGGTACCTTGAAAAGTTGTGAATATTTTCCGGAAAAGTAGAGACCTTGGAGTCCCCTTTTGCACTTGCTATCCCTAGGTGTAGTCTTCAGCAGTTAAGTGGCAGTTCCTTTACCAATCTGGGATTTCCTGGGATGATCAGAGAAAGTTAGGTAATGATAGACCCATTTACCTCTTGAAGGAAATCGTTTTCAAGTCTAATGGCTGGGTGAGAAGTCAACAGCTGCTTTAACCTGAAGTTGGCTCCTCCCCAAGCCCAGCTCTGGCACAGGTATGCTTCATGCCAAGAGGACTGCTTCCTCAGACACCTCTGGTGAGATCCAAGGCCTTAATGCTGGCGGGTGAGTTAGCCAACAGAAGAATTTGCTAGCTCAAATGTCTGGTATAGTGTGGCACCACTAATGAGAAAATGATTAATCACACGTTGCTGGTGGAAGGGGTGAGTTCTGGTCACGGGCTAGAGACTGGCTCTGAGGGTTTACATTGCTAGATGGATACTGGACTTCAGGAACATCCTCTCCAGACAGCTGGTCAATCAACTCAGGGACCACATAGGACTGCTGCTGATTCACCTCCTCTGGGACCTCCTGGACATGCAGATCACCCTCCCCAGGGAACTCTTGGGATGGTTTATCAACCTCTGGGATGTCCTGAGACCACAAAATGATTGCAGAAGCCTCTTGGGCCAGCCTGCCAATGTCCCCAGAGAATTCCTGGCATGGCTGGCTAAGCTCCTCAGGGATCCCTTGGGCTGGTTTGCCGACTTCCACGAGAATTTCCTGGGCCAGGCCACCAACCCCTACAGGGAACCCAGGGACCCGCCTGCCAACCTCCACAGGGACCCCCTGGCGTGGCTGGTTGACCTCCTCAGAGTTCTCCTGGCAAAGCTCACAAGCTTCCTCAGAGACTTTCTGGTACAGTTGGCTGGCATTCTGGCATGGTTGGCTGATCTGAGGGACCTCCTGGCATGTCTGGTTAACATCATCATGGTTCTCCTGGCATGGCTGGCTGATGTCAGGGACTTCCTGGCATGGCTGGCTGACCTCCTCTTCAGGGATGTTCTGGCATGGTTGGCTGACCTCCTCAGCAACCTTCTGGCATGGCTGGCTGGTTTCCACAGGTGGTTCCTGTGGGGACTGGTTTCGTTCAAAAGGCTCTTGTTCCCCTTCTATGGGGACCTCTTGTGCTCCATTCCCAATGGTCTCCTGGAGCAGCCCAAGGCCTTGATGTTCTTCAGTCACATGTGAATTTAGGGAGGGGTGATCACTGAAGCCAAAATGGCAGTTACCATCCACTGCAGTAGGGGAGGAAGGACCAGCGCTGGACACAGTGCTGGAAGGGCCACTGCTGTCTGCAAAGCAAAGTCAGGAGACCAAGTCAGACAAGATGGAAGAGTAGGTTCTATGTATGTAGTTCAAATGCCAGAACAGACGGCCTATATTACTCATGTCTTTGGGAAAGAGGGTCTAAATTCTTCTTAAGTTATGCAGAGACTCCTAAGTTAGCCTAGCCCAGGAACTGTTGCTTTGGCCTAAGGTATACTACAAGAGTGGCACTAAGGGACATCTAAGACTTCAGGAGACAGTGCTGAGGCCCACTTCATCCAGTTCTTTCATAAATGTACCCCCATTCCAACTCCAAATTCCCATGGCCCCTCATTCTTACTTTGGAGGCATATGAACACTTCATACCAGTGGTTCATAATTAGGGTTACATACCAAAATTATGGGAAATTTTTTTTAAAAATAGATATTTCCAGATTCCATCTCCAGAGATTCTAATTCTACATTTAGGGTAAAGGTGTGGGATGTTGAAACACTCCCAGTTAAATCTGATGTATATCTTTTGTTAAGAATTATTTCTTTAAAGCACATTTCTGGGGCAGAGGTAACCTTTATTTACTGCCCAAGAGACAAGTAAGCAGGAAAATGTAGAAAAACTTTGTGAATCAGAATAATAGGAAGGAAAATGATTTACTCAAAGATGGAAGACTGCCATGAAATCTCTAAATGGCAGCAGTTCTTTTATTTTTTTTTAATGGCAGCAGTTCTTAATTAACCTTTCTGGGGGTCACTGACCCCCTTTGAAATTCTAATGAAAGTCATGGACTATCTTCCCAGGAAAATGTACATATGGATATTCCCCCTCATCTTTACATATAATTCCTGGGGTTCATAGACTTTACCCTGAAATCCATCTACAGATCCAGGGTTAAGACCCTCTAAGTCTTGAGACATACAGTGTTACAGGCTTATGGATATTATATACATATAAAATACAAAAACTAATTCCTAGATCTTGACAGTAGTAAATGAAGGCCTTAGAGTCTTCAGTTACACTGTGGGACAACTCCTACCCCAACTTCTACCTCTTCATTAATCTCTAGTAGGAGACTACTCTACTTTTCCCTTTGTAAGTATCATACTAATTGATGGTACTGTAGCTTTAAAGCACTCTGATATCAATAATGATAGATTTTGGAAATCGGGGACACCTGAATAGCTTGTCATCAGTGAGAACCAGGGAAGCTGGTAAACCTGAGTCTGCAAAGGCTCCAACAGTCATTGAGTTTAAGGAATGCCAGCTATCTCTTTTCTGTAAAGCAGGGGTCCCCAGCGCCCCCCTCCCCATCCGAGGCCTGTTAGGAACCAGGCCGCACAGCAGGAGGTGAGCGGTGGGCTAGCAAAGAAGCTTCATCTGCCAGCCGCTTGCCATCGCTCCCTATCACTCCATTACCGCCTGAACCATGCCCCTCCCCACTGGTCCGTGGAAAAATTGTCTTCCACGAAACCAGTCCCTGAGACCAAAAAGGTTGGGGACCGCTGCAGTAAAGGACTATATGAGGCATGCTTCAAGTGGAAAAAAAAAAAAAAAAAGAGGAATGTGGTTTGGGGCCAACAAGGCCTATTTAGGGCAGACAGACAGACCCTAAAGAAAATGTTTACCAGTGAGGCTATACATCTGATACTGAGATTTAAAAAAGAAGAAAACATGTGTAAGCTGAGTTCACCCAAGGATAGAAGTAGCCTTAATATTCAGCTAGTAGTTTGATTCAGACAAATCAAAGAGTTCAGACAGAAACAGAAGTTGAAGAAAGATAAGATTTCTAGGGCACAGAACCTATAAACACTATTGGACAGAGGTAAAAGGACCAATGGCAAGGGGAATATAGGATAATCTGAAATTCAGGGGAAGAATTCTTGGTGTCAGGAAGGAAAGTTTCTTCTGCATAGAGGGTGCTAGGAGAAGGGCAAAATTCTACAACTGTTTGCCCCAATATTAAAAATATGAATCTTTGCTTCAGTTCTATCCAATTAAAATAATGTTTGATTTTAGATAGTCCCTGGAGGTAGGACGAATAAGGGAAGGATTCTTCCATTGCCAGTGTCTCTGGGCCTTATCCCCTGTCTGGTCACCACTGGTCTCTCTCCCCCTCTACAATTACCCTAAGAACTCCTTGTGGCTCCACTGTTCACACTGTTACCAAGGATAAATAGTGATAGGCTAGAGATTATAAAGAAGAGATGGGAAAAAGCAGCACCTGAACTTGAACTTACAAATGAGAACAGACACCTTGAAAGAAGGGACAGGTAGAAAGTAGTAGCAGATTCTAGTTTCTTTTTCCCAGCTTTTCTATATATCTAGGTTTCCTCCCAAGTCATTTTTACTGAGAAAGCTGTAGAGACCAAATGGGGACTTGAGGAGAATGCAGCCTTCATCTTTTCTTCCCTAAAGGACCCTCTGAGCCACTATCATTAAGGAGCCCCTCCAAGGAGATAGAGGGCACATGGAGGACAGAAGCGACGGATGAGAGAGAATAAACAGATCCGCCCTTCATCTTGGAAACAGCAAGTGCAACTGCTTCCCTGCCTGGTTACTCCTGGTCCTTCAACCCTCATCTTTGTTTCCCTCCTGTGACGAGTCTCTTATTCACCAATCCCTCCATTCCCTCTTGGCCTTCTCTAGGCAGTTCCAAAACAATTACTTACACCAAGGGGGCTTTTCAGAGCGCTGCCGGAGTTGCAGGGTAGGTGAATGAAGAGTGCGAGGTGGAGAAAACGGGCTATCAGAGGTCTGGTTGCTGTGCATAGAGTCAAAGAGGGCTGGACAGGTGAGGGAGAGAGAGGGAAGAAAAAAAAAGGCTATGAGGAAGAATTCAAGAACCACAGGTTGTCAATATAAGTGAAAACCAACTTACACTTCCTCAGGCTGAGAAGCAGCATTTCCTAGGGACCCTTCATACAAACCATTTTCAATATTTTAAACTTTATATTATGAATATTGTCAAACACATTTTTTAAAAAGTAGTTGAGGGACTTCTCTGGTGGCGCAGTGGTTAAGAATCCGCCTGCTGGGACTTCCCTGGTGGTCCCGTAGTTAAGATGCCATGCGTCCAATGCAGGGGGTGCGGGTTCAAACCCTAGTCAGGGAACTAAGATTCCACGTGCTGCGTGGCCAAAAAAAAAAAGAAAGAATCCACCTGCCAATGCGGGGGACACGGGTTCATCCCTGGTCTGGGAAGATCCCACATGCCGCGGAGCAACTAAGCCCATGCGCCACAACTACTGAACCTGCGCTCTAGAGCCCGCGAGCCACAACTACTGAGCCCAAATGGCACAACTACTGAAGCCCATGCTCCTAGAGCCCGTGCTCTGCAACAAGAGAAACCACTGCAATGAGAAGCCCGCGCACTGCAAGGAAGAGTAGTGCCCGCTTGCAGCAGCTAGAAAAAGCCCGTGCCCAGCAACGAAGACCCAATGCAGCCAAAAATAAATAAATATATTTAAAAAAAATAAAAGTAGTTGAAAGACTAGTACAATCAATACCTATATATTCATCTCCTATATTTAACATGTTAACATTTTGCCGTATTTGTTTCATCTATTTCTTCATGCTGAAGTTCTTTAAAATAAATGACGAACAGTATGAGTCATTTCACCTCTAAATACTTCAGTATTCATTTCTAAAATATAAGGAATTTTCCTACATAGCCATACACCATTAATAAACTTAACAAAATTTTAAAATACCCTAATATCATCTTAGTACCCAATCCATATTCAAATTTCCCCCAATTATTCCCAAAATGTCTTTTATAGTAAGATCCAAACATGAACTATGCATTCCATTTTATTATGTCTCCAAAGTCTCTTTTAACACATTGTTGACTGGAGATGTATTATGGCCACAGGTGTTAGTTTCTGCAAAAATCCCCCAGTCAACAATGTGTTAACCTAGAATCGAGCTCCCCCCTATTTTTCTTATACTGACTTTTTAAAAAAATAAATTTATTTATTTATTTTTGGCTGCGTTGGATCTTCGTTGCTGCTTGCGGGCTTTCTCTAGTTGCGGTGAATGGGGGCTACTCTTCGTTGCGGTGCGTGGGCTTCTCATTGTGGTGGCTTCTCTTGTTGTGGAGCATGGGCTCTAGGTGTGCAGGCTTCAGTAGTTGTGGCACATGGGCTCAGTAGTTGTGGCTTGCGGGCTCTAGAGCACAGGCTCATAAGTTGTGGCACATGGGCTTAGTTGCTCCGTGGTGTGTGGGATCTTCCTGGACTAGGGATCGAACCCGTGTCCCATACATTGGCAGGCGGATTCTTAACCACTGTGCCACCAGGGAAGTCCCTCATAGTGACTTTTTGAAAAGAACAGGCCAGCTGTCTCACAGAATGTCACATTCTACACTCTGGATTTGTCTGATTGCTTCCTCACAGAAACATTTAACTTGTTTCACTATCCCTTGTATTTCCTATAAACTGACAGATACAAAAGGCTTGATTCAATGATTCAGGTGTTCTTTCTTGTTTTTTTTTTTTGTTTTTTTTTTTTTTGTGGTACACTGGCCTCTCACTGTTGTAGCCTCTCCCGTTGTGGAGCACAGGCTCCGGACGTGCAGGCTCAGCGGCCGTGGCTCACGGGCCCAGCCCCTCCGCGGCATGTGGGATCTTTCTGGACCGGAGCACGAACCCGTGTCCCCTGCATCGGCAGGCGGACTCTCAACCACTGCGCCACCAGGGAAGCCCTCTTGTTTGTTTTTAATTTTTAATTTTTGGCTGCGTTGGGTCTTTGTTGCTGCACACGGGCTTTCTCTAGTTGCGGCGAGTGGGGGCTAGTCTTCGTTGCAGTGCACATGCTTCTCATTGCGGTGGCTTCTCTTGTTGTGGAGCACGGGCTCTAGGAGCGTGGGCTTCAGTAGTTGTGGCATGCAGGCTCTGTAGTTGTGACTCACGGGCTCTACAGCTCAGGCTCAGTAGTTGTGGTGCACGGGCTTAGTTGCTCCACGGCATGTGGGATCTTCCCGGACCAGGAATTGAACCCGTGTCTCCTGCATTGGCAGGCAGACTCTTAACCACTGCACCACCAGGGAAGTCCATTTGAGGTGTTTTTCTTTTTCTTTTTTTAGTGTAAAAACAAATGCTTACATTTTTAATAATTTTTTTGATATTTTGATAATTTTTTAAAAATTGAAGTATAGTTGATTTATAATGTTAGTTTCAGGTGTATGGCAAAGTGATTCAGTTATGTGTATATATATTCTTTTTCAGATTTGTCTCCACTATATGTTATTACAAGATATTGAATATAGTTACCTGTGCTATACAGTAGGTTCTTGTTGGTTATCTATTTTATATATAGTAGTGTGTATATGTTAATCCCAAATTCCTAATTTATCCCTCTCCCCCCTTTCCCCTTTGGTAACCATAAATTTGTTTACCATGGCTATGAGTCTATTTCTGTTTTATAAATAAGTTCATTTGTATCATATTTTAGATTCAAAATATAAGTGATATCATATGATATTTATCTTTCTCTGTCTGACTTACTTCACTTACTATGATAATCTCTAGGTCCATCCATGTTGCTGCAAATGGCATTATTTATTCTTTTTTATGGCTGAGTAATAGTCCATTGTATATATGTACCACTTCTTCTTTATCCATTTATCTGTCGATCAACATTTAGGTTGGTTCCATGTCTTGGCTACTGTAAATAGTGCTGCTATGAACATTGGGGCGCATGTATCTTTTCAAATTACAGTTTTCTCTGGATATATGACCAGGAGTGGGATTGCTAGATCATATGGTAGCTCTAATTTTAGTTTCTTAAGGAACCTCCATACTGTTCTCCATAGTGGCTGCACCAGTTTGCATTCCCACCAACAGTGTAGGAGGGCTCCCTTTTCTCCACACCCTCTCTAGCATTTATCGTTTGTAGATTTTTTGATGATGGCCATTCCGACTGGTTCAATGATTCAGTTTAAATAACTTTGGGACTTCCCTGGTGGTGCAGTAGTTAAGAATCCAATGCAGGAGACATAGGTTCGATCCCTGGTCTGGGAAGATCTCACGCTGCGGAGCAACTAAGCCTGTGCGCCAGAACTACTGAAGCCTGCACGCTCTACAGCCCGCATGCCACAACTACTGAGCCCACATGCTGCAACTACTGAAGCCCATGCCCCTACTGCCGGTACTCCACAACAATAGAAGCTACTGCAATGAGAAGCCTGAGCACCACAGCGAAGAGTAGCCCCCGCTTGTTGCAACTAGAGAAAGCCCGTGCACAGCAATGAAAACCCAACACAGCCAAAAAAAATAATAAATAAATAAATAAATAAATAAATAACTTTGGCAAGAATACTTCAAGAGGTGATCCTGTGTACTTTATATTGCATCATACTGGATGAACATAATGTCTCATTATCCCACTAAGGCTAAACTTACCAACAAAGTTAAAGTGGGGCCCATGAGGTCTCACCATCGTAAAGTTTTCCCCTTCTGATTAGAGATAATCCTTTGGCACTGCAGAACCTGATCAACATTTCACCTAATTGTGTTAGTATCCACTGATGATCCTTAATTACTTTATTAGGACTATCAAGTGGTGATTTTCTAATTCTATCAATTCTGTATTTATTAGCTGGCATATTTTCTGTAAAGAAGAGCTTTCTCTCTTCAACTGGGGCCATTTGATTACATTAAACTGCAGTTCTTACTGAAAAGGAAGGATAAATGTTTATTTCCCTTTAACTAGTTTTCAGAAGAAAGAGCTGGTGAAAAGTATTCATCAATAGTGACAGATGATGATTATTTTATTTCATTTTTGTTCTCTTTTTTGTAAGATTCATTATGAGCTTGTAGATGTTTACATGTTCAGTCCACTTTAATCAATTACAATAAATTATTCTTTTTAATGCTAAAATATTCCAATTCTGGTCAGTGGGAGCCTCTTCAGGCTTGATTGCTTCCTTGCTTCTGTTACAACATGCCTCAGGATCACCTTGTGCTTTCCTTGCCCTAGATCATGCATCCTCAATGGTGCATGGTGAAAGTGGTTCTTGGTGAAAGTGAAAAAACTTAGATATTCCACTGGTTTGTGGTCCATCAAATGGCTACAATACATAAACAGACATAAAGTTTATCTGTGGTATTAAAATTTCAGGTGGCGGGGAGTGATTGGAGGAAAAAAGTCTAAAAAGGCTCTGTAGGAGGGGGTGTGATTTTAGAAAAAAAAAAAAAAAAAAAGAAGGTTAAAAAACATGGGCCTAGACCAGGAATCCAACCATGGAATCCTGGTTGCTTTTAGTGGGGAATGATATGTAGAGACCAAAATCTAGGTGCCAAGGGAGCTCATTGATACTCTTTCTAATGCATGATATTAGAAAAAGCATTAAAAAATGGAATTCATATTGATATTTTCAATTCAAATTTAACATTACAGCACTTTAAAAATCTTCTGAATTTATATTTATATATAATTTATCTTACTTTGAGAATTCTTATTCCTAATAACAGAAACATAATTACTTATTTACATTACTCTATTATATGTGTGTGTGCATATGACATATGTTTCAAAATAGTATCAATATCACTACTAACAATTAAACCACTGAATGAGGATTAAAATTATTTTATATTTCTTTTTGTTCCACTAAAGGATTTACAGTCAAAGTACAGTATTCCAAAGTTATTTGAAAAATTATTTTCCCTGTGTGATTATGTTACTATTTTGATATAAAGTTAGGGTAATTTCTTTCCATTTTTTTTTTCCAATTTTAGGATTCACTTCTTTTGATTTAGTCTTATATTTTGAAAAACATTTA